TCATTGCTGCGTTTTTGTCCATTTTTAGAGCAATTTTCCTAGAGACAGATTTTTACCGCTTTCGTCCGCCATATTGGATTGCTCATGAAAATAGTCTCTAATGCGCATGCGTCCGGTTTTTCCGCTCTGTCGCTTCAAAACTCTAAAATTTGAAAAATTGTGTGTTTTGAAAAATCAGGAATCGTGTAGGTTGGAATGGAATGGACGTCGGATCGTGGATCACAAACAATTTTTTTCCATCCAATTTTCAGCTTTTGAAAGGGTAGGAACAATCCTAATGTATAAAAATTCGTGCCCAAACTACTAAAATTTGATTTATGCTTCGGAATTTTGAATTTTGAGCAATTTTGTATTTTGGAAAATCCGGAACCGTGCATGGATGGACTGGACTGGACTTCGGTTAAGTGGATCGTCGGATCGCAAAACCTTTTTTACGATGAATTTGCAGTTTTTATCCTACAATTGTTATTTTGATAATCATAAATAGTAATTTTGTGCTTTAATTTTGCAAAAAAATCAAGATTTAAATTTTTTTTCATAATTGGAAAAATGACATTACATCTTGGATTACAAAATATTTTGCTTTTTGTCTGGCCATCTACCCAGAGTCAAAACTCAAAGTCAAATATAAAAAGACTTCCTTTTAAGAGGGTAGTATAACAAACAAACTCTGGCCCTTCAATTACCTTTAATTCCACTTACCCATATGTTTTATTGAGTACAGCTCCAACCTTCTCAATCAGCAAGTGTCCAGACTCTGGGTTGTTTTTCAGAATCGTGATAAAAGGATGGGGATGTGATCTAATAAAAATGAAAATGAAAAAATATTACAATGCTAGGGCACGAAATTAACTTTTGAACACACTAGCAAAATATTAGCTAAAATCTCAAAGTCACTAGTGATCCGACGTGGTGAATAACAAGCTTTACTTGATGCAGGTTCTAAACTTTTCAGTCCTTCAACTTCTGGACTGTGTGGTCATACTTGCAAAACTTAGCTAGTTAATTTTTTGTCACTCACTAAATACAAAATTTCACCTGCATTTTGCGAGTTTACAAGAGTTAATTTTGTGTCCTGAATGCTTTCAAAGTATACATGCACAAAATCATACATTTTGTCACAACTTAGTCTCCCTTGCATCTGTTTTTAGTGTCAGTTGTCACGCAACGCTCCCTCTCTTTGTGCGTGACGACCAACGCTAAAAACGGATGCGAGGGAGACTAGTCACAACTTGTCATGGTGGGATTTTTTGGTTGGGATGACTGGGATTTTTTGGTGTATCTTGGTGTTACATATCAGTGCATATTTTACATACCCTATGCCATAAGGACATTTATAAACACCATGTCGATGCTCAAGTAAATCAATTTGTAATAACAATAGACTTGTGACAGCATGAATTATGCCAGACTTGTTACTGAAGGAATAAACAAGATTATATTTAGTACAAATTATCAATTGTTTGTTTCCATAAACATTTATAATAAATCATTTTATTGCTGCATGGAAATTAGAGACAAATTTCAATTACAGTCAACTCTCACCATGCGGACACTCCGATATTACGGACACCTTGCTATTACGGACAGGAGAAAAATCCCGACAAAAAGATTGACAAAGAAATGAACGTAATTAATTCTTGCTATGCAGACACTCGGTATTACGGACACCAAGTGACAGTCCCAAGGGTGTCCACTGTAACGAAATTTGACTGTATAGTGGTTGTGGGATTAGTGGGGGAGGGTTGGAGTTTCCAATGGGTATATTGTGTAGTTCCAGAAAACATCTGGATACCTAGATTATACTTTGGTCGTCCAAGGGTTGGCAAGGGTCTGATAGAAGTCTAGTACATATATTGTATAATTCTCTAAAATATTTTCCATGGAGGTGGGGAGGGTTTGAGGAGAGAGTGTTGTGGAGAAGTTGGAAATTCCAAGGGGTGGGGATGGTCTGAGAAGGGTATATTGTGTAATTTTAGTCAACAACTTACCTTGTTGATGGAAGGATATTCAGAAACTTTGTCAACATATAGTTAAATTCAATCTTGTTCTCTGTAACAAGCCCAACCAAGGCCATGGAACACTCAAGACTGACATTTAATGATGTGTCAGCACTCTTTTCTAACAAAATATTAAGTTCTTGAATCTAAAAGAAACACAGCTCATTGAAATAAATCACTGTAGTAGCCATAGAAATTTGAAAGCTTTTTTACCTCTTCTGCATCATCCTTTAAAATCTTTCCATGGCTCAGTTTTTGTGCAAGAGCTAAACGTAGTTTATACGCACCCTTAAATAAAGATAAATGTCTAAAGTAATTAAAGCAAATACCAACAAGTTGAGCTCAAGTGAACTTTCACTTACTTTTGAACGGAATATACTATTTTATGAACTATCATTCAGTAAATAATAAATATATAATAAAGTATGTTTTAAATGTATGTAAAGATTTTAGCCTGTAAAATTCCTTACATCTTTTTAAACAATTCTGAAGACCATTTTATCTATTGGCTGCTGCTTTTCCTACCTGTGTTTGGACGAAAATGTTCCGGAATGACAACTTTGCTCTTCCTTCTGCTGCGGCCGCCATCTTGGATGATGGGGGAATCTGCTGACCAGATAACATTACACAGGGAACCCACTATTTTGGGGATATAAAAGAAGGGAATGGATAGGATGGATGGATGGAGGATTATTCTTATACGTTCATCCAAACCATCTCAGGGACATTCTTGTTCCTGTAAGCTCATCTAATTTATTTCAGGTACATCCTTATTCCTACACGTTCATCCAAACCATCTCAGGTACACTCTTATTCCTGTAAGCTCATCTAATTTATTTCAGGTACATCCTTATTCCTACACGTTCATCCAAACCATCTCAGGTACATTAGGTTCACAAAAGTGCCGTTCAATCCATTTTAGGTATATTCTTATTCATAAGTTCATAAATTAATTTTTCACCTCCAAAGTAGAGATTTAGACCATAAAGTTTTTTCATTAACTTTCGTGTCAATTTATATAATTGGAAAGGTTGTAAGACAGTTAAAACAAGGATACGAATACAGTTGACTCTAACGTAAGCGACCACCCCGGGGCTAGGAGAAAGTGGTCGCTTACGGGAGATGGTAGCTTACGAGAGAGTTAACACAGGAAGCCCAAACGATGGGAATCCCAACAAAGGAAGCCTAAAACTTTTATAATTTGTAACTCACGCGTAAAAACTACTGTATTAACTATTAAACTGTTTTAATCAAAATTTTGAATGTGCCCATGATATGTTTACAGTACTGTAATTGTCAATATTTCGTCGGGTAAATTACTGTATTTCTAGTGATCTCTAACTACAATAACAATAGAAATCTTTTAACACACATTGCGTATAGTATTATGTGCTGTTAGGAGAGAGTTTTAGATTTACGTTCACGGCAAACGTGAAACGTCAGTTGACCAGTAAAAAATTCTTTTAAATTACTGAAAAAGAATCGCAAAAAAGTCCAAGTAGTAGAAAAACAAAAGAGTATTTGCGCTTGGTGAGATGGTTTGCAAAACGTAAAATAAAATAAAGGAAAACTATGAAAACGTGAGTCACGTTTGCGGTTTGCGGGGAGAAAAAAAGTCAATCTAAAACTCTCTAATGTAAGGATCTGTCAACATTGCTGGCTACTGGTGTACGGGAGAGGAAAAACAATGACAAATTCCAAAATTCTAACCCTAAAAGGTGGTCGCGGTCGCTTACGAGAGTTTTTTTTACAGAGTTTATATGGGAAACAAAACGGGAAATTCAAAAGGTACGTAGTCGCGTACGCGAGATGGTCGCTTACGAGAGTGGTCGTTCAAATGAATATTCAATATTTAATCATAAAACCTTAACGTCAACATAAAAATTCATATAGCTATGACTAAAGACCTGTTTTGTTGCTGCAAACACGAATTTAATCGTGTTTGGTTCCATACCAATCGTCATCGGCAATCCTTGTGTTAAAGTAACGAATTCACTACTTCCTTTAACAGTTACCGAAAATGTCTCATTGCAAGAGTTTGCGAATTCGTATACTAAACTATTCCCACTCAAATGTTCTCTGATGATTTGATATAAACATCCATTAAAGATGTCTTTGATTTTGGCAGTTGAACCAAACATTGTTGAAGAAATTAAAGCTTTCATTTGTTGTTTTTTCAACTCTTTTATGACAAAGTCCTCTTTTTTCTTTCTCCTGTCACAGACGCACATTTTTATATCAACGGATTGATCAACGCAGTATTTAAATTTGTTATACATAGTTTGCCTTGCAAACGTCTTTAAGGTTGGTACTCCATTGTTCAATGCTATGGCGACTTTGAAAATTTCGTCCTCGTTCAGCCCGACTGATGTACCGTTAACGTGTAAGTCGAATGAAACTAGAGATCCAGACTTGCTTTGAATGATGTTGTCAATCGACGTGCCAATCAAACGGATACATCTGCCGTATCCTTTCACGCGGGCTGCCTTTGCTTCTTTGCCTGTTAAAGAAACCAAAACGACATTGAAAAGTTAGTAAAAACACAGGAAGCCCAATCTTAGTTTTAAGGTCAGTATATATTACAGCAAATGTGTGAGGTTTATAAAGCAGCTTTCGTATGACTGAAAAGGCTCACGGTTCGAACGCAGTAGCGACACGGCAAGACATGCCAGCCCAATCACATTACACGAGAACTTACTAGCTCTCCATCCAATCAAATGCCCGAAACACGGCATGAACACGGCGTGGACACGGTCACGCCAAGGTCACGGCACTGTCAGACCAGTCACATTGTGCAAGAATAAAATCATCCAGTTCAAATTCTAGAAAACATCACGGTCGCGTCAAGGTATACGCATACGGCACCGAATTTTTCAAAGTCATACGAAAACTGCTCTAACGTTTAACTTAGGCTCGGCATGACGTTAGTAGAGTTTGTTGCGTCTCTCCCTTGATTCAAGGGGTTTTCTCCCTGTTTTCCGGTTTTCATTCCTGCGCAAAACTAAATCCAATAGGCGACTTGCACTAAGAGGTCACGTGATCAAATCGGCCACTGTGGCTGGCATTCTACAGGATTTTAGCTATGCGAGAATGTAAAAAAAGATGGCGGATTCGGGTAGCTGTTTTGGTGATAAAAGGTAAGTTAGCGCAATAAATAACGATAAAAATCCCTACTAAGAATATATTTCTCGCAAGAAAAGCGCATTTATCACCGAAAAACCCACATGAATTGCCATCTTTTTTACATTCTCGCATTGCTAAAATCCTTAGAATGCCAGCCACAATGGCCGATTTGATCACGTGACCTCTTAGTGCAAGTCGCCTAATCGATCTGATCAGCCCAGAGGTCGTTCGAGGTCATCGATGATGTTTTCAAAATGTAGTTGAATGTGCGCGCACTCCGCATTCATCATCCACAAGACAATCTTTTTCAGTGAAATAGTTCCACACTCTAACCTTCTGAAAACTGTTTTTGTATCAAATTGTTCAGCGTTCCCAAAGCAAATTCAGCCAGCCACTTGTGCCTTGGGGAATTATCTTCATATCTCTCATCAGATCCCTCACACTGACACCTCGCAAGCGGCATCAGTGGCATATCATTACACATTCGATTAGCTGGAATCTTCGAGAACATTCCAGAAACTCGGTGGTCCCTGGAACTAGACTTGTCCTTGTCGTGCAAAACCATTAGCGCCCGATGAAGATCCAGTGTGGTCAGCGGTCTTCTCTGGTTAGCTTCTAGGATATCCATTTTCTGTTTCCCTAACACACGCGCTACGTTTTGAGGTACGATCATAAAAAGAAAAGGCTGGTAGCGCTCTATTAGACCTTCTGGAGTCCCCCCATATGATGTACTCTTGTGACCATGGTCAGACATTAGAATTGTCCAGGTATTCGAGTCCCTGGTATTCAAAGAAAAAAGGTAAGTTCCATCCAACATGGCTGCCCTCGCCCCTCGCGCGAACGTGCGAATTCTCTAGTGTTGGTCTAGCTGAGCTAATAAGCAAAAAAAAACAAAAAAAAAACAAAAAAACAAACAAAAAACAAAACAAAAAAAAAATTGAAAAGCCAATCATGTCCTCTTTTCTCAACCAACAAATCAAACCTCTTTTACGAATTTGTGCTTCATCATGCAAATTTATTTTCTTGCGTAAAAACTGCTTGATGAAACACAATTCCCATCTTTAATAACTTTCCAAGCAACAAAAACATCTCAAATTCTTTTAAATTCTTCATTTCAGTAGTTTCAGACACTTCTTTTGTCGTGAAACAAAAACTTGAAATAAAGATTTCATTTCCATGGCTTTAAAAAGGCGGTTTTTTACCTCGCCATCGAAGAGATAAACTTTGCCAGTCCAACATCCACGTTATGAATTCTCTTTCCACTGTGCGTGTGTCCAGTATTAAAATGGACATATGACATAAGGGGCGATGCGTCTTTTGTCCCGGTTACAGAAGCCATGACATCTATAAGGTAGTCCAAAAAATAGGAGCTAAAATGCTTGCCGTTGAAGCATACTTTGTCGGGATCTTCTAAATGGTTTGTGGCGCCAAACGTCTTGAAGACTTCACACGAGAAATGCGTAATACCAAAATGATCAATGTGGTGTTTGCTTACGATGTTTTGGTAGTCTGTCCACCTGGTAAAGAGAATGAAACGTTTTGTGAGTACATTTAGCAAATCGTGGTACCTTTTCTATCATCTGTACTCCTTATCGAACATGCAGCATACGACAGCATATGATTCAAACTCAAGCGGAACCACCAGCGCAGCAAGTGGTTTCACCAAGGGAGCACGTTAAAATTTTGATTGTGTTGGTTTATCTTCGTTTTTATCGCACATATTCTAAGATATAGCAGGCGTTCCTTGTAGTTCTTGTTTACGTGCGCTACAGCTTGCGCGCGCTACACTTCATGGCAGGCGTTCCTTGCTTTAGTCGGGCTAGCGAATTTACTCCGAAAACCGACGAATATTTTGCGAGGAGCAAAATAAGCCAAAAAAAGTAAGCCATTCGGATCGGCCGAAACCAAAACACTACGAGGAACGCCTGTCACAAGATGGATTGCGCGCGCTAGATAGATCAACCAAGAACAATGACTTTCCTTACACAAACGAAATTTTAATGTGCTCCCTTGGTTTCACTGCAAAGTTTAGATCATGTGCTAACGCCATTCCACGTTTGATAAGAGGCCAGACCATAGAAAAGGGACCTCGATTTTTTTTTTTACCACAAAAAATTCACTAGAACACATTTTTTCGATGTTTTCTTAGTAATCAAATCAACCAACTAAAAGAGTGCGCGCTCGTTGACGTCGGCTTATTGGCCTGTCCTCTTATCGAAAATGAAAAATAGCCAATCAGTGCGCGAGAAATTGACAATTTGTAGTTTAAAATTTTTTTTGTGTCATTTATAGCAACTTTTGTAAGCACTGTTGTGACAAAACATGGCACCCACACGAGTTTTTCTTTCCTCGGCACAAAATACGAAAACTCTCTTCGTGGTACTTAGAAAAATTGCTCATTATTACAGATTGCAGGTCACGCATTAAATACCCGGCAGATTTTAATTTTCGACGATTTCTCAAATAAAACGGACTGTAATTGGTCGTAAGCTAAGGAGGAAAAAAAATTTTTTTTTCAGCATGCGTACGTTTCAGGTCACCCATCCAGGTACTAACTTCACTCAACCGGACTTGACTCAGTGTCATGGAAGCCTAAACTTTTTCCACTGGACCACGGTTAGAGGTAAATCAGCATAACAATAGCCATGAAAACAATGCACCGAATAGACTAGACTTTTTAACATAAAATTTTCAACCGATTCCGTGCGTGGCAGAGATGCAAGGGATTAGCCGATATGGTCTGGGGGCCGGCTGGTCTCTCCCTGATGCTTTGGCTAGAACATTTTCTTGCGTAATTCGTACACCCAAGTGCAGAAGGATTTAATCGCCGTCAGGTCCGAAGTCCATACGCCGCCTCAGCTCTGCGGATGTCTCGGGGGTATGGCAAAGTTGAATCGATTGAAAAAATTTTTTTTGTCGGTGGGTTCGAGCCCCATCGTATCCAGGTACGATTTAAAAAAATGCATATTATTATCATTTTAGCGATATATTTTTAGAAAGAGAGACTACTTATAGCTTCCCAGTTCCTTTTTGCTCATCATATTAAGCCATTTTTCTATATAAAAATGTACAATGAAATTAGTTGTTAGACAAACACGTCAAATTTAAATCCATCATAAAGACTGACGAGAATCGCCTGAAGTTTCTCTACAAAGATGCCAATACTTAAATATATCGCTTAGAATTCGTTTTAGTCGAGAAATCGTCGAAAATTAAACTAACCTGAAACTAAGTCCGAATCGGGAAACTGCTCCCCGTATTTTTCCAACGTGAAAAATTAGCAAGCGAGACTTGGAGCAAGTCTAGACCTGACTAGGCCAAAGACCAACTTTCTCGTCAAAGTCAAGCAAAATTGCGGCTATGACGTCGCATTCACCCCAAGAACAAGATAAAGCAGGATGTCGAGTGGAGGTACTAACTTTTCAGCAGTAGCTTTTGAATCTCCTTTCATTTTTATCCCGTCCAGAACACATCCCCAGCGATCGTAAAAACACATGTCTTCCTGGAACATTGTCTGGTAACCATGGCGTTTGTAATGACCATAGAGTACATTAATACCAAGCGGTGCTTTTGCTAAAGAAGGAAGGTCGTTGATGTCTTTAAGATCTGTTAAGAGAAATTAAAAGATATCAAGACCCTCTTTAAGGTCAAGGTTTATCTTACGCCGTCCAGGTTTGTCTTTTATCTTTCCTGACTTCGTAGTCACATACTTACCGAAAGCAACTCCTGAAAATAACGGCCGAATATTTTCCATAGTATGCATGCTAAGACTCTGAAAACGTTCAAAATCAAACACTGTAGGGATTGATCCATTATTCACAATATCCCGCATAACAGCAATAGACTTCCTCAGCATTCGATAGAAATGAGGCCGAGAAATCGAATCAAATACCACTATATTCACATTGACCTTGTCATCAGCCTTCAAAGACGCGTTCAAGTGTATTTTTGGCGGGAAAACCAACACTTGCAAGATGCTACCACATTTCATTAAACAGAATGTTTCTCCCTGTTGCATGGTCGTCTGCACGAAATCTGAAGCATTTTTTGTGTTAAAGGGCTCTATAGCTTCCCATTTATTCACATGGCCGTATTGTAGATCTCTTCTGCCCATGAATACGGTAGTTTTGCCACATATTTCAAGAGAACAGGTTAGGGTTTTTCTGTCTTTGAAATGACAAATGTTTGGGTATGATTTTGTGTCGCACTTCACATCTGGAAGAATTTCCCTTGGGCTGCCATAGGCCTTGTTTGCTAACAAACACGAGTTTGTTGACGGTCTGTGAATTAAAGATGATGTTAGTAACCAATTTAAGAGAAAATAATGGCAAAATCTTTCCCTGCGCATGATTAGAAAACCCACGTGCGCCCAATATTGCGGACAGGAATCATGCCGTGACGTTTAAGAGACACGTGATTCAAAATAATAACCGATTCAAAACCTGACTTCTGATTGGATCATGATTTTCCTTATATGAAATAATCCAATCAAAATTCGAGTTTTGAATCGTTATTTTGAATCCGGAGTCTTCGTATTCTCGGAAAGAATAATACATTTCAAAATTCAAATAATGAAACCATCAATGGAATTTAGGGGTAAGCTTGACACGTTTTGACTGTAAGGATCATGTGAGATTGTTAAATCATGTTAATTTTTAGTCAGACGTTTTTGGGTCAAGTGACGTTGAGAATCACGTGATGATTTAGAATCACGAGAATTGTTAATCAGGTATATTTTTGATTGTCTTACATATGAGGCTTGCATGCGATTTCTTCTTCCTCGTAATCTTCTGATCTTTTACCAAGCCCCGGTTTCTTCAACCTAGTATAGTGGCAAGGATAGCTACTAACTTGGTGACCTAGTGATCGTAACAAAAATCAATTATTTTTGAACAGATTGGATATTGATTTTTCATACAACTTTATCATAAACGAGGCATAAGTTTGGAAAGTTTCTATACAATTTAAGGCCCTTTTCCAGTGTTTTAAAATAGGAAGTAAAATGACACCGATTAGCCTCCGGAAAATGATGACTGACTGTCCCATCCCATTGCTTGAATTCTAATTCAAAGTCAGTATATACACTGTTATTTCTCGCTCCCAGAGTCCTTATTTCTTACTGCGCATGCGCGTCAAAATGTATTGGGTTTAATTTCGCAGGGTTTCATGTCCCATCGATTTTCCACCCCTAAACCACTACAAAAGCTAACTAAGTGTGGGACCTTTTTCCTGCGATGCAAACCCAACATACTTGGCTCACCTGTTACGTAATTGACTTTCGAAAAAGAAAGTAATTTCGGGAAAAAATGAGCGGACGGAAAAACAACTTGAAAAACGACCGTAATGAAGACGACAGCCAGTAAGAAAAGAAAAATGCATCTCTGAAAATGAAAGTTCAATAAATTTATTGAGAGAGAGCCCTTTGAACGAGATTGGTTTGTGGTTATGCGCATGCGCAAAATCATGGCATTTAATTGAGCATGCGCAATAAGAATGAAAGAAACCTTTCATGCAGCGGTAAGCCAATCTCGTACCCAGAGCCTGCGTTTCTGGCCTGCGGCGAAGAACGAGGGCTCTGGCATAATCCATTTTTTGACGCATGTGCAGTTTTCGGGAAGTTAAAGCTTAATCATTGAAAATCACGCTTTCAAACAGAGTTCTGTGTTTATTTCCGATCCGAAATAAGAATTAGAAATTGGGAAAAAAAAATTTTTTTTTGGCAAGTCTTTTAACGTAAGCGCTCTTGTACTGGAAGTCCAAGAAATCCTGGTCTCAATAAATGGATTATGCCAGAGCCCTCGTTCTTTGCCGCAGGCCAGAAGAAACGCAGGCTCTGGGTACGAGATTGGCGGTAGGCTTACTGCGGTTTTCGATATTCTACAAACTCACTGCTTTTCAACGGCTTGTTTGTGAAATTAATTGGGTTTTTCACTGCCGCCAGTCAACAACATAAAACGCAGCTACTGAATATTCTTGGTTATTTTTGACCCAGCTTGCAACTACGAAGTTCAAAGAATATTGAAAACCTCAGGACGGATAAGCATTTTTATTGCTTGGGGTTCCTGTGGTACAAAGTTACTTACCAGGGTTTTTATCAATCTCATTCCTCTTTCCGCTGTAACATCAGCTGAAAATCAACTAGGAATTAATTTCTAGCATTAAGATTAAAATTTGCTATTTTATCCAACGAGCCACACTGTAAAAATGGTTTGGTTACGTTGAATCAAGGGCACTAGTACACCGAATGTGGTTGGATTTCTATTGGTTTTTTTCCCTTTCGATTATTTGAATTAAATTAACGTTATACTTGTTTACTTATCTTGCGTCCGTGTTCCTTCGTTCGCTGTTGTAATGCAGACGTTTTCATTCCAAAGGTCAAACGGTTTGAATAGCCTATGAGCGTTACTTCTTTAACGGCCGTTCCGTACTCGACTCTGTTTGTACTATACTAACAACGACGCGACCGCGCGATGATCCTTACGTCAGTAATATTCAACCGTCCAGAGTTAATATGGTTAATCAAATTCACCTTATGGAACTTAAGGTGAATTTGATTAACCATATTAACTCTGGACGGTTGAATATTACTGACGTAAGGAGCATCACGCGGTCGCGTTGTTTATTAAATCCAACCACATTCGGTGTCCTAGTGCCCTTGGTTGAATCTACCATTAAAAAATGGTTGAAAAGTGGATCTGTGGTAATCAATTGCCAATGGTTGTAATGACCATTTATTAACCATTTTAATACACCATTAATAATTGGTTGTAATAACCGACAATTACATGGAGCAACTTTGTCTGCAACAGTGTTGCGACACAAGTTGCATGGAGCATTGCAGCGTGTAACCTACGACGCAATGTGAAAAAATGTTGCGAGACTGTTTCACCGTATAAACACTCATGCAATTTGTGTGGCCAAGCCGTTGCGAGACAAGTTGCCCCAGGGGAGTAAAGTAAAGTGACCTCCGACCTGTTAGTATAATATACCACCACAGAGACCACCACTTGCCACAATATGTAAAAATCCTGGAAATTTAATCCTTTTGCACCAGACAAAAGAGAAAATTCAATGATAACATCTAGCGATATAAATATCTTACGTTTCGATGGTAGAATGAATAAATTAACAAAGGCAAAAAAATTCAGACTATGATTGATTAATAATGTATACACTCTACAAAAATTATGATATATGTGAATTCTTTTTACCTTAGCGATTGCGATGGCTGACGATMATCGTGAGTGGTATGTTACTAAAACGAGTAATGCAGTAACGAGTAACGAGTAAACCGAGTAACCAGCATACATTTAAAAATCAGATTACGACTTTTAAAATCATTATATTGAAATGATCATAAAATATTTACTAAAATTACTTACGAATAAAGCTATTTAATACACAGGGATTCAAGAGATCCAAAAGGAACATTCCGTGGTCAGCCGTTCAGCCACTTCCGCTTTCATCATCGTACAAAATGGTCGAGAATTCTTCCAAGATTTTCTCTCAAGGTTTACTGTTATGTTGCCTATGGCTTACAGTACATTAAGTCAAACTGTTGAATAGTGTACGTCACCTAAATTAGATAAGTTAGTTAATATTTTAGCTGACCTCACATAAATTTGGAACTACGAGTAAACAGCTWCTGAGATCAGGGAGAAACGATGATACAAATTAATGTCTATTTACTCATTCTCTTGTAAAACAACCCCCCGGATTAGCATGACCGTTATTTGGCGCACTTTTACTATTTTAGGTGACGTCAACTAAATAGTTATCTAAGTTAGATAAATTTATCTAGCTAATTCAACAGTTTGACTGAATGCACTCTAGCCATACAGTAGCAAGAATTGTACGAGAAAATATTGAACCTAATCTTACGAAGCGTTTTATTATGTCTTATTATACACTCGAAAAAATTATTCGATTCTTATTGGACTTTAATAAGATAGAGGAGTACAGTTAAATTCCAAACTGTACTCTGTAGAGTTCCCAATAAGTTGCTCAATTTTGTTGAGCGTATTATAAACAAAACATCGCACGATCTTCTCGTATATTTCGGAATTTATAGATACTCGTGATGTTTTAAAAGTTCTCAAATTTGACTCGTCTAAAGGCTCGTCCAATTTTGAAAACATCACTCGTACCTCGAGATCGTGTGATTTCCTATACAAATAAATAAGAATATTCAATCCCTGCTAGCAGAGTCTCCCTTGTTAATTGGCGATATTCTTGGTCAAGAATCGCCAACGAAGGAGACTCTGCTAGCAGGGAAATAGCAATGTTAAACCAAAGTCAAAATCCAAAAATCTGGTTCTGACGAAGAGAGATAAACGAATAAATCAAAGTCAAAAGGAATCCTTGAAACCACGCGGTGAACACTAGATACAACACTCATTCTCCATCTAACTCAAAAGACTAAGTAATCGATTCTTCTAAACAACTACAAAAATATGACTTGCACTTGTGGAAACCGTCAGTTTCAACTAGCTTCCTGCTCGTTTGAATTAAGATAAAAGGTTGCGAGGTACAAATTGCAGACGGCATTTGTGTAAAAAAGCTAGACTAAAACACTCGTAATAACACCCATCGTGAGTGATCGTATGGGAAACATTGCAATGGCTTTGATTCGTTTACATTCTAATCGTTCCATTCAAACCAATTAGGTTGAAACAGATAAATGGACTCTATCCATGGCTTTTTTCATGTTCGAGCCAAAAAATGTGAATTATTAATTGACATTATTATCGCGTAACATCGGTCGGGAGAAGCGGAGTCGAGACGAAATCTCAAAGTTTATAAGATTTGTATTCGATTCTGATCACTTGTGATCTAAACATATGATTGAATAGACGACATTCTGACACAAGAAGAGACAAGGAAGGTTATGCGTAACTATGCAAAATTATGACGAATTTAAGTAAGAGTTCTTATGACAGGGTCTAGTGCAAAGGAAAGCTGTAACTGACTTGCTACGTGTAAACTAGAGACATGGCTAAACAAAGTAATAACTTACTTTGGCTCAGGAAGATAGACTAAAGGATTTGATAGAAGTACCAACATAAAGGGTCAGTAAAACAACACACAGACGTCCGGATCCATCACCAAGTGTCAAGCCTCGTGGTAGTCAAATCGCCATATTGAAACTTTATATAACTGAATTGCTAATCTTAAATGTCCATTCCATCACCAAAAAAAAAAAAAAAAAAAAATCAAGGTTAATTGTTAGCCTGCGTCACATCCGGAATTTTCTTCGCTAAAGGTTGTCAGCCAATGGAAGACTTCCAGTAATTTGATCCTGCGATTTGCGCAATGCATCTATGGATTGCCAGGAGGCAAACAAAGCAAGTCATTACAAGAGATGTATGAGACTATGATCAAATTCAGACTATGATTAAATAATATACATACACTCTACAAAAATTGCTAATAAATGGATGATACATGTGAATTCTTTCTACCTTAGCAATCGCGATCGCTGACGATCATCGTGAGTGATCGTATGGGAAACATTCGCAATGGGTTTGACCGGGGGTTCGTTTACATAAATAAAATGGATTCTGTCCATGGCTTTTTTTATGTTCGAGCCAAAAAATGCGAATTATTAACTGAATACGGAATCCGCGTGATATCGGTCGGGAGAAGCGGAGTAGTTATGATTGAATAGACGAATATTCTGGACACACTTGGGTTAAAGAGACAAAAAGGTTACGCGTAACATGTAAAGCTATGACGAATTTAAAGTAAGCGTTCTTATGACAGGGTCTAGCGCGAAGAGAAAGCCGTAACTGACTTGCTAAACTAGAGACATGGCTAAGAAAAGTAATCACTTACTTTGGCTCAGGAACGTAGACTAAGGATTTGATAGAAGTACCAACATGAAGCAGAGCAGTGAAATAAATTAACAGTAAAACAGCATCAAGTGCCAAGTCTCTTGTGGTAACCAAATCGCCATATTGAAACCGAATTGCTAAGCAGACGTGTTACATTTGTCACGCAACGTTTTCTCCCAGTTTTTCTCGCTCCCCAAAAATAATTTAAATTCCATTCCATTTCGAAAAAAATATGTCTCTAGATAATGACAGGTAATATTCTCAGGCGTGTGAGAGCGTTTCTATACATGATGTTAGGAACACGGAAAAGATATGTTTCAGGGGAATAATTACATTTAAAGATACGATATGTTCGGAGTCTATTTTTTTTGACCGTTTTTCTTTCATCATCAGACACCACCCTGAGCCATGTCTGGAACTCATTATATTTCAACCTTTGTCTTACAGTTCTACAGTATCCTAATTTTGTCTGGACCTGGGTTCCTGACTGAGTCCCCAACGTATTTATCCAGACCTCACCGAGGCCCACTTTGTATATCGTATCTTTAATTTTCTTTAAGCAGTCTGTCTTATTTTCGTTTTCTAAGAATAGATCATGAGAGGGGAAGCCACATTATTTGACTGATGCATTCTTACCAACTCCGAGGACTAATTTACTAAATTTTACATGGACTGCTTCAATTGGATCTCGCTGTTTCTTTAATACGTCTACCCACAAACTTCACTCCAATACAGAAGTATGGGTTTGATAAGCGCACCAAAAAGATGTAGAGTTAGTTTGAGGTCGGTTTTAAAATTATTTCCCATCAATTTTTTTTAGTTTAAAGAGGGCTTTCAATACAACCTTTGCCAGTTCGTTTCTGCCTAAAGTGAAATTGCCTATGACACTAAAGAAAATCCCGAGGTACTTATACGAGGTCACTTTTTCGACTATCCTATTCTGGTACTTAAAGGTATAATTATTCATGGTTCTGCCTGTGTTATTGAAGACAACCACTTTCGTTTTCATGTGTAAAAATATTCATGTAGTCTAAGTATTGCTGCAGGACTCTTTCGCTCCTTGCAAGTAGGACCAAGTCGTCGGCATACAGCAAATGGCTTACTGACACCCCGCTAAATTCAATGAGTTCATTCTTTGTTAGGGGGATTTCAGCTTAGTTGTCAGAGAGGTCATGTAGGTATAAGTTGAATAAGGTGGTTGGTTATAAACCTATGAAAAATCGACTCACTGGCCCAGATAGGGAGATTTTCAAGATTGTATGGCTTTACTGCTTAATGCATGCTCGTGTGCCGTTGTGATTTGTAAACAGTCGTACAATATTTCGATTAAGAAATAATTGAATGAGGAAAATTCTGAGAACTATTAAAAATGGATGAGCGAGGTCGTTGGGAGTTGAGCGTGGCGTGACGACACTAATAGCGGCTGCGTAGGAGACTAGGCCGTTGGCGGAGTCCAATACTCCAGTTTCTCGAGTTCTCTTTGCTCAGCCTAAGGTCTAGGGCAAACGGCGAACTTTCCATGCACCGAACTAATTAAAAACAATGGATATCAGGTGATAATGAGGCGGCATTCATTGATGTAATTAAGTTCGGTGCATGGAAAGTTCGACATTTGCCCTAGGCCTTAGTCTCGGTTGTGCGTTAAAATATTTTATAGCTATACAATTATAAAGTGAATAACCTCTTTCTTAAGCATCTGTTTTGGCATTATGACTAGTTTTCGTTCCGTATTATCATGCGATAAGCAAGTGAAAATATCATGGTTTCTTGTGCGTCATTTGATAGAGCAGCATATAAATTGCACAGAAGTACTAGTGTAACCGGATTCACACAGTCTCACGATCTCCATTACATAGTAGTAATAAATTATGCGTTCGGTGTGTATATAATGAAGTAGAGAGAATAAGAGAAAAATATCAAATGCCCTTAGCGCGGTTGGTCCTTGTAGTGTAGTGGTTAACACATCGGACTGGAATACCGAAGACGTGGGTTCGAATCCTGCCAAGGGCATTTGATATTTTTCTCTTATTCTCTCTACTTCATTATATACACACCGAACGCATAATTTATTACTACTATACTATGTCTATTCTTTGCGTACATATTTACGGTGTTCAACTTATCTATAGAGAAAAAATATCGCTATGGGATCCTCACGAATATCCTACATTTCATATTCTGGCTGCGTTACCAGCGTGGTTGGTCCTTGTAGTGTAGTG